CCACTTACCTGGAGTTGGAGGAATTCCAGTAGATAGGCTCTAAAACTGTCGGGCTGGAGAACACAGTTCTGAAGAAAACCATCAAAAGTCCCCAACAGTACTTCCACACCGAGTCCCTCCTGGACCAGGGTCTGGCCATGGACATGGCAAAGCTGCTCCCAGTTCTGCGCACTCCGGGATGAGTGTGGAGCCTATGCCCGTGGCGGATGCTTTCCAAGCTCTGATCGAGGGACCCCTGGCCTGATTATGTCACCAAGTGATTTAGCGGGCTGAACCATAGTCAGGATGGACTCCCAGGACACAGCCCAGCTTTGCATCCCACCCACAGTGCCAATCTTGACCCCGCTCCCCATTTCTGGTCCTCTCTCCATTCAGCTCCCCTTCTCCACTTCCCGCCACCCCCAAGAACAGAGCCGCCAAAGCTCCACTGCAGACATCTGGGTGGAATTTCCTTCCCTAACTTGCAGAGCTCTAATACATAGAAAATCCTTTAGAAAGAATTTTGGGCAGGCCTGGTATTCAAGCCCTTAGCAACTCTCTCTGCACTGATGGCCACAGCTCAGAAAGCTGTTATTGAAGACTAACATAGTGAGTAAACATAAGTCACCACTCCTTCACTAAAAACAAACAGAAGACACTCCTCTCCAGATGCTAGACACGCATAATACTGCACCCAGACAAGTCAATGTTTCTAATCCTCCCTGGTGCACACGCAAGTATAGTGGTCACAACGAACACAAATACATATTTAGTTGCTCTGTGGCTCTGAGGGTTTTCATGGGAATTTCTTTAATCTGCACTTAAATATAAATATTAAATCCAGACCGGAGGAGGAGGGGCTTTCTCTCAAAGAGGCTGTGAAATCTCAAAGATGCTGTGAATTAAAGTGCAAAGTGGAGAGAAGCAGCCAGGCTGGAGAAGGGGGGATGGGCGCGCCCATCACTAACATTCAGAAGGGAAGGGGGACTTTTGTAGTCACCCCGAGCTAGTTTAACCCTCAGCCACCACGGGGACCAGAGTTTGAGTGGCAATAGCAGCACTCAGGTCCCAGCCAGGCTCCTTAGGGCACAACCAGGTGCCTGTAGATCCTGTTTGGCTGCAAAGACGACATGCCAAGGAAGCAAATATAACACTTACATTAAAACACAAAACAAAACAAATATCTATACCAGACTACATCAAAGATGGTCGCAGTAACTTTAAAACAAGGGCCTTCTGGCAACAGGCAAAAGTATCTATTTAGGATGATTTATAAGTGAAGGGACCGTGGTCTTCACTATGCCGTAACTAAGCACCTCCAATATCATTTTATGGCATTTTATTGATTGGTAAATACTAGTATGTTTCAACAAATAAAAAGATGGGGCAGATTCTGCTGTATAAATTCCTGGTTATCGCTAAGTTTCCACATGCAAAAATACCCAAACAAATCCCCAAACCAAAAGCTGAGCGATATTAAATATGTTTATCCCACAAATAATCATGCAAGGCTAAAGATTATTTTAGCCCTATTGAACATACAAAGTCAAGTTGTATCTGATGGTCTACCCACTGAAAGTGACTTAATTGTTCATAAATTTTAAAAACATGTTTTCTAGTGTTTATTAAGTACCGTTTGTGGCAATAATACTTATTTTCTATAACAGAGGCACAGGTTTAGGATTTTTCAAAGATAATACTTGATGTTTTAACTCTTATCAGTATAAAGTAGTGCCTGTAAAAATATCCAGTAGTACTAACTCTCAAGTTTATTCAATGTACATAGGAACCCTGTGAAAAATATAAACTGGAGGAAATCTAGTATAGTTCTAAGGCTTCTAAAGTAAACCACCCTTTAGACTTACCAGAATTAAAAAACAATTGCTTAAACATATGAATTTAAGACTTTACTGTACTCAGCAAAATCATTTATTTACAGTGGGGATTGCTTTTTGATTTTGTCAATGAAAGAAACAAGAATCTGAGAGAGACCATACTGCACTGTGGGTACTACTGTAGCAAGTGACCAACTGTTATCCTTACCTCTTATCAGGAACACCAAGAGATACAGTATCACAAGGACACTGCTGAAACAACATCACAAAGCTCCAGCAAAACCCTGGGAATTTAACAATGCAATTATGTATCAAAGACCCGAAAATCAGCAAAGTCAGCATTATGACGTAGTAAACAGAGTATAACCCCGAAGTCAGTGGCCAGTGAACACCATACCAGACCAAGCTATTCACCAAGTGACCTGAACTTCAGCAGGCCATCATCCATTACAGAATCCCAACAGGTGAAAAATACAACACTTCCAGAAGACAGCTATGATCTGATAAGGATCTGACGTAATGGACAACAAGTGGGAAAAATAAAGGGATTGCAAAGCATAGCCCCTATTAGAGCAAGCTAACTTTCCAGACATTCCAAATTAAAACAAACAAACAAACAAAAACAAAAAAACAACCCTCTTCAACATGAGGCTACAATACTAAGTTGTTTCATGTTTCTTTGTAAAAAGTTCAGAGTCTGCCATTCAATCCTTGGTTTTTAATGAGAAGGACAGGTTTGGCCTGGACTTCCCCTGGCCCAGGATAACTTTTTGTTCTTCTTATTGTTGGCTTTGGTGTTCTTGTTCTAGTTTCATCCTTTCCTCATGAATCCTTCTTTGTTCTTCAACAATAAGAATGAGATCAGTTATTCCCTTCTCTCAGTATCTTTTGGCTACCAGGTGACAATCCACAACATAAATGAACATATAGATACCAGGAGAGGATAAAAGTAATTGAGGAAAGAATTTAATTATTTCTATGTATTTCCTTTATCTCAAGTTTATGAATAATGGATTTGTGGACGTCATGCCTTGAGCATAGACTTGATTTTGTCTTATATTATCAAGATTAACAGTTATCTAAAGAAAAGGCACAGATTAGTCCCAAAGTATGTATCTACCCAATTACTATATTTATAATTAGATAGACATATGCAAGAATTGTAGCTAAAATTTCCCAATGTGCCTCCATATTATACACACAATAGTAACCAAGAATTTAACCGCGTAGAGGTGGTGCATATATTTAATCCTAGCACTCAGGAGACAGAGAAAGTTGGATCTCTGAGCTCAAGGCCATTCTGGTCTTCAGAAGAAGTTCCAAGATAGCCAGTGCTACATAGATAAACCCTGTCTCAGAAAATTAACAAGGAATTTCTCTAATACCTAATTTCTTTGAGTGAAAAGAAAGTAGAAAATGTTTTGACCTAATGGATTATAAACTACTATCTAATTTCCCATTATCTTATGTGTGAACACCTCAGGTGCCTTTGAAGCCTTCAATCCCAAGCAACTGACTAACTTTCTCTCTACAGGAGATGTCCCATGTTAACCATGAAAAGTAAAGCTATTCAATTTGCAACTCCTTCATCAGGGCCTTCCCCTCACCTTCCAAAGATCATTCTCACCTCCTCAATTCTTTGCCCTTCTTCTATAGGACATTAGAACCAATTAACTGAGGACTCTGGATCTTAGAGTGGGAACAGTATCCAGAGAGTAGAGGACAGGGACAATGCATGACAGCTTGCTCAACAAAACATCCCCCACCATCAACCTTAACATGGTTATTAGTAAGAAAGGCTGTTTTAACCCTTTGAATGTCCCCATAAGTCATCACCACATTCTCATATTTTTGCTGAAATTTACCTAACACATGTACTTTGTGCTTAGACCTGCCTTCCCATTCAATGTTACATTCAAAGACACTGACACTGACACTGACTCCCTATATACTTAAAACTCTTTTAATATGGTAATCAACAATAAATCCAGCAGTTTCCCATTCTTGAATACAAATTCTGTCTCCTCAGGTCTCCAGCAAGTTCTTCCCCACATTCTCATAGAAAACAACTGATGCACTCCGTTCATCATCACCAATCTGGTCTCCTTTGGTTTTTAGAGTAAAATGCCTAGGACTTTGGCAAAAGGAGAGAATGGTAATGGACTATTCCTGTTATGGAATATGAAACCCAAATCATGTCTGAGGGTATCAAAATGGATTGAAAGTCATGAGACAGAATGGCAGTCCATTACTATTCTCACTGTAGCTGATGTGAAATTAGACAGCATTTTATAATCCATTGGGTCAAAACATTTGCTACTTTTTTCCCTTTAAGAAATTAGGTCTTAGAAAAGTTCCTTGTTAATTTTCTGAGGCAAGGTTTCTCTATGTAGCCCTGGATATCTTCGAACTTCCTCTGTAGACCAGACTGGCCTTGAACTCAGAGATATACCTGCCTCTCTCTCCTGAGTGCTGGGATTGAAGATATGTGCCACCACTACCTGGTTAAATTCTTGGTTATTATTGTGTATATAATGTGGAGGCACAGTGAGAATTTTTAGCTACAATTTTTGTAAATATATATCTGATTGTAAATACAGTAATTGGTAGCTAATTACTCTGGGACTATGTGCCTTTTCTTTAGATAACTCTTAATCATGATAATATAAAGACAGAATCAACCCAATGCTCATGGCATGAAATCCACAAAACAATTATTCATAAACTTGAGATAAAGAAAACAC